ATACAGTATGTAGCCTTTTTCCAATTGGCTTCTTTAAGTAATATGCACTTAAGTCCTTCCATTTTTTTTACATAACTTGATATTTCACTTCTTTTCAGGGCTGAGTAATATTCTATTGTCTGGAAGTACCACAGTTAAATGATCCATTCATTGACTGAAGGACATTTTCATTGCTTCCAAGTATTGGCAATTATAAATAATGCTGCTACCAACATTCATGAGCAGGTTTTGATATGGATATGAGTTTTCACTCCTTTGGGTAAATACCAAGGAACATGACTGCTAGACTATATGATAAGAGTATTTTGTTTTAAAGAAACCTAAAACACAGCAAACTGCCTTCCAAAGTGGTGGTACCATTTTGCATTCCCACCAGCAATGAATGAGAGTTCTTGTTATTTCACTTTCTCGTCACCATTTGGTGTTGTCAGTGTTTTGGCTTTTGGCCATTGTTGATAGGTATATGGTGGTATCTCAGGGTTTTTAAAATTTCCATTTCCCTGATGACATGTGATGTGGACCATCTTTTTATATGCTTATATGCCATCTGTATATCTTCTCGGATAAGGTGCTTTTTAAGACCTTTGGCTCATTTTTAAATCAGGTTGTAGGTAAGCTCTTTTTTGTATTCCTAGACTTTTAGGTATGAAGACTACCCAAACAAAGTCACTGCTGCATGATTCATTTTCTGTTTTGTGAAGGAGGAGAGGCCATCTATTTTTTTTTTCTTAATTTTGAAAAAAAAAAAACTATCTGAAAACATTGCCTAGAAAATCTCTACCTTTTTTTAAAAAATTTTTTTAACATGTATTTATTTTTGAGACAGAGAGAGACAGAGCATGAACTGGGGAGGGTCAGAGAGAGGGAGACTCAGAATCTCAAACAGGCTCCAGGTTCTAAGCCGTCAGCACAGAGCCCGATGCGGGGCTTGAACTCACGGACCGCGAGATCATGACCTGAGCCGAAGTCGGCCGCTTAACCGACTGAGCCACCCAGGTGCCCTGAAAATCTCTACCTTGTAAGCACACACTACTCATCACCCTTCAGAGGCTGCTGGGACTAAGACCATTTGTTCGTCTAAAAATAGGGGCCTACGATATTTCAATTAATGTTTCTCTTCTTCAGTTTTATGAGGAATAAAAAGAGTCCCATACTGCAATAGGTAGAAAGTAAATCTGAATTTTTCTATAAAGAATATGTAAAAATTATGAAACATTTCATTACACCCATTAAATAAACCAACAACAAATATTTTGGGGGATAAGAAGCATAATGTTTTGTACCTTATCCTAGAGAAAAACACTGACTGAGTAGAATATATAGGAAAGTATCAGGTTTTATATTATGGACTATTTTCCATGGAAAGCCTATTTTTCTGGAAAAAATGTTTTACATGTTAAATAATCATGCTTTTGAAAATATCAATCCTTATACATAGCAGAATACCTAACACAATTATGATACAGGGTATACACCATAAATATTTGTAGTTAACGTTGTTTGTCAGGAAAGCATTATTTTCTGTAAGTGATTTTAAATATACTGTTCCACTAAAGGTGATTTTTATTATATTCTTAACCCAAAATTCCAATGGAATGCTAAGCTCAGTAAGCCAGTAGAGAGAATGCATATCATAATTCTACCTTCAGATGTTTCTCTGAGGAAAAGAAACCTTCACTTGTGATCTTCACTTTTCCTGTTCTTATCATTCTAATCATCAATTACGTGGAACTTTACTAAATCATTCTAAAATTCTTCACAAATACTCCTTAATTTAGCACAGCCCAGCTCCTGTTCTCAGTACTCCCAGAGCTACCACAGAAGTCTCTACCAGAGACAACGCTCCAGTCTTGCCCACGTTCTTCTTAGCCTTACAGAGAATAGTCTCATCTGACAGAGCCGTACACGTATTTCTCTCTCTAATTCAAAGCCTTGTTTTGCTTAGGCCATCTCTTCCTCACTTGACTGAAACTTCTAAAATATCACATGATATCTTCCCCATTTATTCTCGTAATAAAGAACTGGACTCCATTTTTCTTAATTGATGTATAGTTCACAGAAGATGTTACATTTGTTTCTGGGGCACGGCATAGTGATTGGACAAGTTTATACATTCTGCTATGCTCTCCACAGAGCAACCTACAGATTCAATGCACTGCCTGTCAAAACACCAACAGCATTTTTCACAGAACTAGAACAAATTACACTAAAATTTGCATGAAACCACAATAGACCCCTAAGAATCAAAGCAATCTTGAGAAAGAAGCACAAAGCTAGAGGTGTCACAATTCCAGATTTCAAGATACATTATAAAGCTCTAATAATCGAAACAGTATTGGTACTGGCACAAAAACAGACACACAGATCAATGGAATGGAGAGCCCAGAAATAAAGCCATGCTTATGTAGTTGATTCATCTGGACACCATTTTTTATGACTGACCTGACAGCTTTTAGTTTCCCACCTCTCTTTCCTGCTGCCCCCACACAGGGCAAGCACGAGGAGAGTCCCTGTGTGCCACATACCCTATGAGGTCAGTGGCAAACCCACCTGCAAACACTCCCACCCAGCACATGGGCCCTTCCCCAGACTCATGCCCAAGTCACCACAAGGACCCCATGTACTCTCTCTGCTTTGCTCTTGGTTTCCTCCCTTGCAGAATTTCTACACTTCCCCTTAGGAAGTCCTTCAGTGGTCTACTGCATGAATAATAAGTTTCATTTCATATTCATTGGTAGCTATAAGTTGTTTGGTATCCAATATAAATAATATCCAATTAATATACATTCCAATATTTATATTGGTATCCAATATAAATACCAATATAAATACCAATTTATATTGGTATCCAATATAAATCTTCGGGGGAGTGGGAATTTATAGCAGGAGACACCACCACATAAAATGATTCTTATACATTTATTTATACCAATAAATCTCATCCTTGTCATTAATATTTTTCATTCAAAATGTTGAAAACATTCCTTATTTTCTTTACATCCAATGGAGATATTTATGTAATATATATGCATACAGTATATAATTATATGTGTAAATGTCTCCATCTACACAAATGTTCTCTGTCTTGATGGATGTGAAAACTATTAACAGCACATATGGTCTTCTTTGTTTTTCTGCAATCCATACATTCACATAGATATTTGAATAAATTCATTTTAGTCTGAAGGTAAATGGATTTAATTAAAATAGAAATAAAGAGTGGGGACACCATTTATTTCTCTGTAGTCTAAAGACTCATATTGTGTTTTCTATTTTACTGTCCAATGCCATATCTTGGTAATACAATATTCATTTTTGTTCAGTTTGCTTTACATCATGTCTTAGTACATATACAGCTTTCAAAGTCTAATCCTTCATTCCGGTTATTTGTTTCAAGTTTCCTTTCCTAACTTTGGTTCCCAAATGTGCTAATCATCTGACAGGCAGAGCTCTGTGTGGATTAGCACCTGATTCTTTAACTTTACAACAAGGTTGTTTAACCTCCCCTCTTTGTACCATGAGTTACTGTGACTTACAAACTACTTCTTGTGAAAAAGTATCCTTTTATTGTTAGACTTTATGTCAGCCACACAGTATTGAAAACATCTGGAACAGAGAAGAAAACACTTGGATTCTTTCCCAAAAATGTCTCCAAGACCAAGCAGCAAGATCACATAGTCAAATGAACAATACGAAAGAGCAAGAGGGAAAGGCAGAAAAGGCTCTTTAAGGAAGTCAGAGTAAAATCAAATATGTGACGAACATATCAATTATTCTGTCAATTTTCATTTAGGAATGACACATTCATTTGTCCTTTGGCAATAGTTTCTCTGGCATTTTTTCACATTTACACAATCCTAACAAGCGTTTTGTACAAATGCAATGTCCAACTCAGATGGTGATCAAATGGCTATGGCGGGACTATAAATGCTCCAGAGCCAAAGACAAAAGTTAAAAGTGCTGTTGGTGCCGTTGTCTTGAAACTAGGGTTTTTCTTGAATTTGTTTAATACCATTGACACTTTTTTTTGCCTAGTAATTTCCTTTTTATTTACTTTAGTGGAACTGTCTCCAAAATATAGCCGATAACCACATGACTTAACAAGTTATCTCAGAACCTTGAGTGCTATTTTCTGTTGTCAGCACATTTATGATAAATTTGCAAAATGCAAATAAAAGCTGTAGGCAAGTGAAAAAGGATTCTCATCTATAAAAATATACACCTCACCGATTTTACATGTGTTGAAACATTTTACAGCTTCTAAATTAGCTGAAATAAGTAGTCTAACCTTTCAAAGGAAAAAGTTTTGATAATGACTTATTGAACAAACATGCTCATACAGAACACCACAGGTAAACTCTTTAGGAGAGACTAGTGTGTCAGTGAATTTACTAGGCAAAAATGACAATTTTATATAATCATTAATTTTAAGAAAAAGTAGAGAGGAAATGCATAATATTTAGTCAAGACTGAGTCTTAAAAATGTTGAAGATGGGGGCGCCTGGGTGGCTCAGTGGGTTGAGCATCGGACTTTAGCTCAGGTCACGAACTCATGGTTTGTGGGTTTGAGCCCCGCATCAGGCTCTGCCCTGACATCATGGAGCCTGCTTGGGATTCTGTCTCCTTCTTTCTGTCCCTCCCCTAATCTCCCTCTATCTCTCGCAAAATAAATTAATAATTTTTTAAATGTTGAAGATGACTTGTGCCCATTAGTGCCTTTCTATCCTACCATGATGGCCTAAGAAAAGAGGGCACTACACTCTGACAGGGTCCTCACTTCTCTGATTCCTTATTCTCTGTGAAGGACCCCCTACACAGGAGACCTGCTGACTCTTAACTGTCATAAGACCCAGTTTCCATCCTTTCCATCCTTCAACGCTCCTCCCTTAAAAACTGTTCTAAACAGAGCCAATCAGAGATATTACCCAAAGAACTTGAAAACTGGCAAAGTAGCAGAAAAACGTCTGTTGGAGTAGAATTACTTTGATAGGCATACCTGAAAAGAAAATCCACGTGTTCTTCTTGTTAGGCTCCTCCCAGATTTCCTCATTCAATCTTTCTGTTGGCCTCGTCTCCTCAGTTATTTCTTTGATTCCTATTCTCTACCCCAGCTACTTGTTCAGAGTTGGTTTCTGTGGCCTGTCAATAAAAGGGATACTTAAATTATACAGATATTGACACCAGAGAGTGAATTGCAGGCAAAAGATATTCAGGGACATGTGGAATATTTAGAATTGTATGTCATGCCAAGAAATTTTGGAAATGCATTGAGTCTTTTCCTTATTTTAGGAGGGCAAATAGCTTATGGAATACAGGGTCAAAACTAGTGAAATGGATTATCTCCTGCGATCCACTGACCATAGTCTCACTGAGGTAGAAACGCTGAAGAATTGGACAAATGACACTACAGAAAATTTACAGCAAATATTACAGGTCTAGGGAAACTATTTTTTTTCTGATAGCATTAGATAACATAAAATAAAAGACTCAAAATGAGATTTAAAATTCTGGACTAATGTCATGGAATAAAATTCAAAATTCTGAGGACTGCTAAAAATAGGTCTACTCTATTTAGAAACAGAACTTTACGGTATGACAGTTTCTTTCATTGTGTCCTAGAAGTGCAATGCAAGAAGCCTGAGTAGTGCACGTTTATTGTCTGTCTACTTCATCTAGAAGAAAATATGGCCCAGCCAGTGGCTGACAGTGTAGTCTAAGAATCAGGGTTTCAGGTGATAGATGGGGGGTTAATGGCAATATTATTGGAGAAGGAGTATGTGCCTCAGCCTATCGAGATAGTTCTTGAATCTTCTCTAGATGCATACTAAAAGAACCCCTCAAGAAAAAAGCCTTAACAAATGAAAGGAGTAAGGTGACCCTTTTGTGAATATCAGTTATCCTTCTTTGCCACCCAGACCTCAGCTTGCTCAATGATCTTGAAAAAGCCACCATAGGATAGGGAAGTAGATTATGCACGGGCACAATGACATAGGCTGCCTTCTACAAGGTCAAGTCTACCATCACTAATGATCCCATCATTACTGCTGGAACTCCGTTTGGCAGTTGAAGGTACATGCTTTTAGAAATTCAACGAGCCTTGAGATCCCTTTATAGTAACATGCATCAAGATACGCTGCAAGCCTTGGTGGCAGACAGATTCTATTAGATCCCTTCCACCATGAAGTGAGCAGTAATTTTCTTCTTACTCCAAATAACAATAAGACACTTATTCTGAATTTACTTCTGACAGTATCATCTTTAGTGCACTTACCAAATTCCCTATATACCATGATGATATTCCACACAATATATGGACATGGGCATAAAAATATGCATGGGCAAAAAAATACATTTAATGAGGAAATAAATAAGTTAAGAGGCACGTGTGTTTGAGATTCACTGGTATTTTCAAGCATTCGATATTTGGAAGTATTGGAACAGCAAGAAACAAAGTCTCACCAGTGGCTTCACCTAGAAGATGGAAATTTACGAATTTGGGAGCTGTCTTGTAGGATGTTGTATATGTTTTCCACTCTGGGCTGTAGTAAAGTTTTACTTATACAAAGAAGGTATAGTTTTTACCAAGTGTATTGAATATTGTGAATGAGTCACTCAGTCCCCCTTCCAAACCACTTCTCATGTGCAAGAGACAGAATAATAAAAATTCCTTTTTGTTCAGGTTCCTTTGCAGCTAAGGCTCAGTATGTGATTGCTGATTCATCAATCAAATCTACACACATGTGAGACTTCAAGTCAGAATCTGGTTTGGTGAAAATAGGATATATATTACGCTGGTTGAACTGTGGCAGAATCAGAGCATTCATGGAAGCACCAGCTTTGCTATGGCTCATCGAAATGAGAGCAGTCTGCCCAGAGCAGAATCAAAAGCATCTCTGGAGAGGCTCATTCCTTAAAAGTCAAACAAGAATTGTTGCTTCCGCCCTTAATATGTACCTTTCCACTGAAAAGAACCAAATTAGATTCCTTGGTTTTCAGCTAAGAAATGAAGAATGCTAATAACTGGAAACTAAAACTATCATTTGACCATGCTGGACCATTAATGTCACGGGAGCAGACAGAAAATAAGGTCACGTTGTCCGGATCAATACCTGTGGAATATCAAAGGAAATAGGTTTGAATGTAAATATTTTAGGATGTCATAACAACTGTGACCAAGCAGAAGTCTAAATGGCTTATGTACCTCAAGAAGAAAACTGTAAGCCACTCTATTTGACAATGTGTCCAAAAGTGCTGGCTGAAAAGCTAAAGAAAGGGAAATGGACGGTGGTAAGATAAAATGACAAGGACCAGCTGCTGCATTGGTGTACGTGATGGGTCCTGAGGGCTGTATTTTTTCCTCTATTTCCCTCCTTGGTTGTTACTATCATTGTTATAATTTTTATATTTTACACTATTACAGCAATTGGTGTGTTTCAAATTCTGTGTGTGTTAAACATGCTAACATGTAGTAAAAATAAAAAATTAACAACATACTACATAGGCTGGTATTGGTAGTATTAAACTTCTGCAGTATTAAACTAGCTCGACAGAAAAGTAGACAAAGATGAGTGATAATTATAGTCATTAGCGATTATTAGTTAATCTATACTTTTCTAATGATGAGAAAGTTGGGCTGAAAATAGGGAAGAAGGTATGAAAGATAGAGGTATTTGATTTTTTAGCTATCCCTTTTTAAAGGTTACCATCAGAGAGGAGAGAGTTTTGATTGCAAGGACGATTACAGTGGCATCTTCATCATCATTAATAGGTGAATAAACTCTCCTTTAATTTAAAGAGACTATACTACTCCATTCTCCCTACCCAGTAAACTCTCTACAACATTGACAACTTGCCCATGATAGGAATGAGCAAGAACAAGTGACTTCTTCTATTAATACTACACCTGAGGGATCCCTGTTATAGATACTGTTCTTCCACTGTGTCCTGCCAGGTACACTTACCAGAGACAATAAAGTGCTCTGATGGTAGGTTTGTAGAGTGATATTTTTAATCGCTTAGTTCACTTCTCAACTCCTTTTATGAAACACTAACATGAAAATTAGGGGAAAAACTAAAAAATAAAAACTGGAAAAACACTTCTTTGTAAAAATCCCCTTACTATATGGGGTGCCTGGGTGGCTCAGTCAGTTGAGCACGTGACTTCTGCTCAGGTCATGATATCGCGGTTTGTAAATTGGAGCCCTGTGTCAGACTCCAAGCTGACAGCTCAGAGCCTGGAGGCTGCTTCAGATTCTGTGTCTCCCTCTCTCTGCCCCTCCCCTGCTCACACTCTGTCTCTCAAAAATAAATAAACATTGAAAAAACAAATTCCCCCACTATCTTCCTCTGTCCTTTAAAATATACCATTTATTTTTCATGACTAGGTGGTTTCAATGATGAATTACATTAAGTTTTAAGGAAAAAGTATCAATAATAATATCAATATTATGCAAAATTTTATGCAAAGATATTTTAAGAAAGAAAACCACAGACCTAAAACTATCATAAACAATGATGCAAAAAATCCTTAACAAAATATTAGTGAATTGAACCCAGTAATATATAAAAAGTATAATAGATCACAACCAAATGTTACTCCAGGAATGAAAGATAGGTTTAATACTACAAAATTAATTATTTATTCACCACATTAACAGAATAATGTAGAAAAATATCTGTATAATCAACTCCCTTTTATAATAAATAAAAGAGACTCTCAACATATTACCAATACGGAGAACTTCCTCAACCTGATAACATACATCTATGAAAAATTTGTAGTTATGAACATAGTTACTAGCCAGTATAATGAAGCAAGAAAAAGAAATAAAAGAAATAATGATTGAAAGGAAGAAATTGCCTTTGTTCACAATCCATGATTACTTATAGTGAAAACGCCAAGAAATCATCAAAATCTACTAGAACTAACATGTTGCTGAATACAGGGTCAAAAGTCCAAAATTAACTGTATTTCCATATATAAGCAAGAAACAATCAAAGTAAAATATAGAACACATTGATAATAGCATCAAAAATAAAATGCTTATGGAGTAATTTAACAAAAGATATGCAAGATCCCCTTATTGAAATATGTAAAACATTGCTAAGTGAATTAAATAAAACCTAATATGTAGAAAGATATATCATCATGGGTTGGAAGACAACAAACATGATAAGACCTACATTCTTCTAAAATTGATTTATAGATTTAATGTAATCATAATAAAAGTTCCAGGGGAGCCTGGGTGACCTTGCCTCAGGTCATGATCTCACACTTCATAAGTTTGAGCCCTGTGTCAGGCTCTGTGCTGACAGCTTGGAGCCTGGAGCCTGCTTCGGATTCTATGCCTCCCTCTCTCTCTGTCCCTCCCCACTCACATGCTTTCTGTCTCTTTCTCAAAAATAAATAAGCATTAATTTTTTTTTAATTCCAACAGTTCTCTTTTTTAGAAATTTAAAAATTTGTTCTAAACTTTGAATGAAAATAACAAAGGATCTTGAATAATTAAAAAAACACTCTTGAAATATAAGAATGAGCTTGCAAGAGTTATACAACTGTATTTTAAAAATTATGAAAAAGCCACAGTAATCAAGAGCATGTGGTAGCAGTACAGAGACAGAGCAAAGGATCATGGAACAGAAGAGAAAGTCCACAAATAGCCCTACACATGTATACAAAGGCAATTCAGTAGAGAAAGGAAACCTCTTCAACAAATGGTGCTGGAATGACAGATAAAAATAAGTCATTTATTTATAAGAGCTATTGCTTAACATTAGATCCTAATTCAGTATTGGTAATACCACTTTAAATTAAGACAAGGGTTAGCAAAACCTCAGAGAAAACATCTACTGGTTTACTTCTACTTGAAATACAATGGCCAAAATATTATCCCAACCTTTGCCATGTGCTTTCTGTCAATGAATGAATTGTATGATATCTGTCTTCATTTTTTTTGTTTATTATACCAATTATTTATCATAAACAATTATACACTTATTATAAAAAATCTATCAGGCCTTGAGCAAGAGTATACAGTGATAAACACAACAAAATAGTCTTTATCTTCAAGGACTTACAGTATATAATGTTTAAAGGTAGAACACTCACATCAGTTAAACAAAAACACAAATATATAATG